GCCTCCCTAACCTGTTCTTCCTCCCACCTCAAGCCGCACCTCCATCTCCTACCGACCAACCTCATCCCGCCCCCTTGACCTGTCCGTCCTCCCTGGACTGACCTATCCCCTCCCTAACTCCCCACCGACACTCACCTTTACTGGCTCCATCCCCGCCTCTTCGACCTGTCTGTTTTCTCTCCACCTATCTTCTCCTCTATCCATCTTCTAGGCGCCTCCCCCTCTCTCCCTATTTATTTCAGAACCCCCTTCCCCTCCCCCATTTCTGATGAAGGGTCTTGGCCCGAAACGTCAGCCTTTCTGCTCCTATGATGCTGCTTGGCCTGCTGTGTTCATCCAGCTCTACACCTTGTTGTCTCGGATTCTCCAGCATCTGCAGTTCCTGCTATCTCTTATCCATGACTGCTACTGTCTGGAAGGGCAAGAGCAGCAGATACATGGGACAGCCATCACCTTAAAGTTCCTCACCAAGCCACTAACCATCCTGGCTTGGAAATATATCACTGTTCCTTCAGTGTCACTGGGTCAAAATCCTGGAGATCCCCTTCCAAACGGAATTGTAAGCGTACCTACATCATGTGAGCTGCAGCGGTTCAAGAGGCAACTCACCACCACCTTCTCGAGGGCACCAAGGGATGGGCAATAAATGCTGGCCCAGCCAGTGAATTGAATAAAATAAACTGTCCAGTCTCCTGTTTTTGCCTTTAGGAGGAATGTGGAAATTTAATCTTGCCCCATAATTTTGTGTGAAATACCATGTATCAAAAATGATTATTTTTCTCCATTTTAGAAATCTGAGAACGATTTTCTGGTCTAACAGGTATCTGAACCCAGCCCACTGGCAGAGAAACCTTGGGCAACTTTACACTCGCACTGTTTTTACTTGGTAGTGCCTAAAATCCATGATTTTTTTTTTGAATGGTATGTGGCTGGTGTGCAACCTCCACTAAGACCATAAGAAATAGGAACAGGAGGTGGCCATTTGGCCCTTCAAGCCTGCTCTGCCATTCGGTAGGATCACGGCTAGTCCAACGTTCCTCATGTCCACTGTCCTGCCCTTTCCCTATAAGCTTTAATTCCCTTACTGATCAAGAATCTGTCTATCTCCACTTTAAATTAACACATGGACTCTGCCCCCACAGCTGTGTGTGGCAAGGAGTTCCAAAGAGACTGAACCCTTTGAGAGAAGAAATCTCTCCTCATCTCAGTTTTAAATCGGCAACCCTTTACTCTGAGACTGTGCCCTCTGGTCCTATACTCACCTGTGAGGGGAACGATCAGCTCAGCCTTTACCATGTCAAACCGGCTAAGAATCCTATATGTTTCAATGAGATCATCTTTCATTTTCTAAACTCCAATGAGTAGAGTCCCAACCTGTTTAACCTTTGCTCATAAGACGGTCACCCCATGACAGGGATTATCCTAGGAACCTTCCCTGAACTGCCTTCAATGAAATGATATCTTTCCTCAACTAAGGAGACCAAGACTGCCTACATTACTCCAGATGTGGTCTCATCAACACCTTGTACAGTCGCAGTAAGAATTCCCTACTCTTATACTCAAATCTCCTCGAAATAAGGGGCAACATTCCATTAGCCTTCCTGAATACTTGCTATACCTGTGTGCTAGCTTGCTGTATTTCATGCGCAAATATCCTCAGGTCCCTTTGTGTTTCAGCTTTATACAGTTTCTTTCTATTTAAATAATATTCTGTTCTTTTGTTTGCCCTTCCATACTGAGCAACTTCACATTTTCCCACATTATGCTCCATTTGCCAACTTTTTGCCCACTTACTTAACCTATTAATATCCCTCTGCAAACTGTTTGTATCCATCTCCCTACCTTTCCATCTAGATTAGTGTTATCTGCAAATTTGACCACAGTACATTCACTTCCCCCAAGTCATTAATCTAGTATTGTAAACATCTCAAGTCCCAGTGCTGATCCCTGTAGAACTCCACTGTTCACAGGTCACTAACCAGCAAAAGAAGCCCTTATCCCCACTCTGTTTCCTGCCCATAAGCCAATTCTCTATCCACAGCAATGTACTACCTGTGACAGTCCAAGTTTGGGTGTGTATGATACTTTTAAACTTCTCATTATGAATGCAGAATCCAGTAAGAAGATATATTTGATCAATGGTCTTTTATTCATGTTGCTCTGTATTGAAGGTATGGTTAGCTTTATCAGATCTGCATCCTTTTCTGGCCCCTTTATAGTTTTGAGTTGCTTTTTTTGTGGTTTTCATTTCCAAACATTAGCAGTTTTTAAGTGCACAGTGTCTTCACAAAAAAAGAGAAATGTCAGCTTTCCTCAGTTACTCAAGGATTCAAGTGAAATGGGTTTTTGGATAAACAACAGCTAATGTTCACTGTTCTTTCTAAATGCAGAGCTGAGCACAGAATTGCTGTTTTTCTACATTTACTAAAATTGCTGAAATAATCTGATTTTTCTGAGCCCAAGCTATTCAACCCTGTATACGTGTAAAAGCTCAGATTCATACATTTTAAAACTGAAATGATTTTATAATGTAAATAGCATTTAAGATTGAATTTAGTTTTTAGAAGAAAGTCATGGTGTCGTCAATAAAAAAAAGTCCTTTTTATGCATTTTATGAATATTAAATTGAGAAAATAAAATTCAGTTCAGTTAATGTTTGATTCTTGTGTATAAAATGCAGTTTTTCATAGAATTATCCTGTAAGGCTCTTTGAAAGAACTGTTGAATTAGCCCCACACCCCGCTCCTTGTCTGCAAAAACCTTTCCTTCAAATATTTATCTAGTTCCCTTTTGAAAGTTATGATTAAATCTGCTTCCACCACAGTAGCAGCAGAATACTCTAGATCACTGTAATTCACTGCATACCAAAATAGCTTTCTTCTCATTTGGTTCTTTTCCTACTTACCTTTAAATCTGTATCCTCTGGTTATTGAGTTTTCGTGAGGAGTAGTTTTCCTTTTTTTAATCTATCAAATACTTTGTCCTTTTGAAAAGCTCTGTTAAATCTCCCTTTAACCTTCATGCTCTGTGGAAAATCAATCTAACTTCTCTAGTGCCACAGAACCATAGTCCCACATTTTGGACACCTTTCTAGTAAATTTCCTTTCACAAATTCAAAGGCTTTGATTGTCCACAACACACTAGCTGGGGCCTACCTAGTAATTTATCAAGATTTAGCATCATTTCCTTGTTTGTGTATTTTATGTCTCTGTTTATAAAGCTAATGAGCTTTCATACTTATTTAAACAATGTTCTCAACTTATTCTGCCACCTCAAGGATTTCTCTAAATACATGGCAAACTTCTCTGTTCCTCCAAAGTCTTCACAGACTTCAAAATTGGACCATTTAACTTATAGTGCCCTTACTACCAAAATGCATCACTTGGCACTTTTATGCTTTAAATTTCATCTGCCAAACTATTCACCCCTTTTCAGACTCTCATCCTGAATGGTTTTTACCATCTTCTTCACTGTTTACTTCATGTCTGTATAATATGAAAACCTGAAATAATGCCTTCTACATCAGAGTCCAAGTCATGAATAAGCATCAAAAAGAACAATGGCCCTAATACCAACCAGTGGGGTTACCGTTGCCCAATCATCTTCAGTCGGAAAGTCAGCTATCTGTCGTAGCT